CTCCTCCTGTCCCTGCGTCCGGTCAGGTAGCAGCGTCAGGTCAGGTGTTTGCTGCTGCGTCCAGGTCTGGTCCTGAGTCTGCCCCCTGTTCGTGTCGCCTCCTGTCTCACGAGACTCTCCTGTGGCACCACCGTCTTGGCCACCCCTCCTTGCCCCGTCTTAGGGGCATGGCTTCCCGTGTCCTTGTCTCTGGTCTTCCCCAGTCTCTCCCTCCCCTTCCTTCGGAACCAGGACCTTCCTGTGTCCCCTGTGTCGAGGGGCGCCTCAGGGCTGCTCCCCACTCCTCCCAGTTTCCCCCGACAGAGGCTCCTCTGCAGACACTTCACATGGACGTGTGGGGCCCGGCCCCCGTCCGTGGGCAGGGTCACGAGCGCTACTTCCTGTTGGTGGTTGACGACTACTCGCGTTACACCACAGTCTTCCCCTTGCGCAGCAAGGGTGCTGTCACTGAGGTGCTGATCGACTGGATCCGCGAGGCTCGTCTCCAGCTCAGGAGGAGCTTCGGCTCGGACTTTCCTGTTCTGCGTCTGCACTCTGACCGAGGCGGGGAGTTCTCCTCTCGCCTTCTGCGAGACTACTGTCGTGCACAGGGGATCCGCCAGACCTTTACGCTTCCGGACTCTCCACAGCAAAATGGGATTGCTGAGCGCCGCATTGGCATGGTCATGGATGTCGCTCGTACGTCCATGATTCATGCGGCTGCCCCCCATTTTCTGTGGCCGTTTGCGGTTCGGTACGCGGCGCATCAGCTCAACCTTCACCCCAGGGTCTCTCGGCCCGCGATGTCCCCAGTGTTACTGTGGACGGGGAAGGTCGGCGATGCGTCTGCGTTCCGTGTCTGGGGATCTCGGGCGTTTGTCCGCGACTTGTCTGCGGACAAGCTGTCCCCTCGTGCTGCTCCCTGTGTCTTCCTTGGCTTCCCCCCTGACGCTCCAGGGTGGCAGTTCTACCACCCCTCCTCTCGTCGTGTTCTGTCCTCCCAGGACGTCACGTTCGACGAGTCAGACCCCTTCTACCGCCTCTTCCCCTACCGTACTCCTTCCCTCCCCCCCCCACCGGACTTCCTGGTGCCAGTTCCCCCCCCGATAGACCCCCTCCCCCCTCAGGTTCCTGCCCCTTCAGGTGTGTCCCAGGTAGACACAGTCGAGCCAGTCGAGGTTGATGCTGAGTCTGGTCCTGCTGCGGGTGCAGAGTCTGGGGGTGCTACGCCTGCGGGTGCTGAGCTTGGGGGTGCTGCTGCTGGGGGTGCTGAGCCTGGTGGTGCGAGGCCAGGGGGTGCTGAGCTTAGGGGTGCTGCTGCTAGGGGTGCTGAGCCGGGAGGTGCTACGTCAGGAGCTGCTGAGCCTGGGGGTGCTGAGCCTGGAGGTGCGGAGCCTGCGACTGCTGGACCTGGGGGCTCTCCGGTTGCTCCGTCTCGGCGGGAGCCGCTCTCTCCACAGGAGCTGCGCGAGTGGTTTGCTCGCCGCTGGAGGCGTGCTGCTGGAGCTGGAGCTCCTTCGACTGCTGAGGGTGCTGGTGCTGCCGGTCCCGGAGCTGCTGGGCCTGCGGGTCCTACTGGAGCTGGAGCTGCTGAGCCTGGGGGTGCTGAGTCTGGAGCTGCTGAGCCTGGGGGTGCTGAGTCTGGAGCTGCTGAGCCTGGGGGTGCTGAGTCTGGAGCTGCTGAGTCTGGGGGTGCTACGTCTGGAGCTGCTGAGCCTGGGGGTGCTACGTCTGGAGCTGCTGAGCCTGGGGTTTCTCCTGGTGCTGCGTCCCGGCGGGAGCCCCTCTCTCCACAAGAGCTGCGCGAGTGGTTTGCTCGCCGCTGGAGGCGTACTGCTGGAGCTGGAGCTTCTTCGACCGTCGAGGGTGCTGGTGCCGCCGGTCCCGGAGCTGCTCGGCCTGCGGGTCCTACTGGAGCTGGGGCTGCTGAGGGTGTTGGTGCTGAGTCTACTGCTGTCTGTCCTGACAGTGGTTCTGCTGCTGGTGCTGCTGGAGGTCCTGCCGCTGGAGGTGTTGGTGGCGCTGGTGCTGCCGCTGAGGGTGCTGGTGCTGTCCCTGCTGAGTCTGGGGCTGCCGCGCGGCCTCGGCCGTACTTCGTTCCGCTCCTGCAGCAGGTTCTTGGTCTTTCTCCTCCGGTAGAGTGTCCACAGCCTGTCCAGTCGCAGTCACTGTTGGAGCCTACCTCCCCACTGCCTGCTCCCTCTCCTTACACTGGTCCTACTGGAGGTCTTGCTGAGCGTCGTGAGCCTGCGTCTCGTCCCGCGTCGCCTGTTCGTGCTCCCCGCGCTAGTGGTCGTGGTTCGCGTCCGCGTCCTCCTCCTGTCCCTGGCACGCACCGGATGTCTCTGCGTCCGTCCACTGCTCCTCTGCGTGCCCCTTTGCCTTCTCCTCCTGAGTCCTCCCTTCCTGTGCTTACCGACCCAGAGTCGGACTCCCTTCGTGCTGCCAGTCCTACTGTCACGCGTCTACTTGCTACTGTCGTCACTGACCCCTCTTTTGAGTCCACTGCTGCGTCTGCTCTTGTCGCTGAGCTTGTCGACTTTGCTGCTCGCTGTCGTCTAGACTACGCTGCTAGTCTTGTTGCTGAGTCTGCGTCTGTCTGTCCTCCGTCCGTCGGGGGTGAGTGTGCTCTTGGCACAAACGTCCTTGAGGACAGGCAGGAGGAGTTCCAGTGTCTGGCTGCTGCTTCACCTCATCTCGCGTCTGTACTGCTTGCTCCTGAGGGAGACCCGGATGCACTAGACATCCCGACTCCGCGCTCTTACGCGGAGGCCGTAGAGGGTCCCTACTCCTCTCAGTGGCAGGCAGCTATGGATGCAGAGATGGCTTCCTGGAAGTCCACAGGCACCTACGTTGACGCGGTTCCCCCTCCTGGGGCGAACATCGTCAGTGGCATGTGGATCTTCAGGGTGAAGCGGCCGCCGGGCTCTCCACCTGTCTTCAAGGCGCGGTACGTCGCTCGTGGCTTCAGTCAGCGGCAGGGAGTTGACTACTTTCAGATCTTCTCTCCCACCCCGAAGATGACCACTCTTCGGGTGTTGCTGCACATAGCCGCTCAGCGCGACTACGAGCTTCACTCTCTCGACTTCAGCATTGCGTTCTTGCAGAGTAGCCTGCACGAGGAGATCTGGCTGCGCCATCCACCCGGCTTCACAGGGACTTTCCCTCCTGGCACCTAGTGGAGCCTCCGACGGCCACTCTACGGTCTCCGCCAGGCACCGCGTGAGTGGCACGACACACTGAGGACTACGCTTGCGGCTCTTGGGTTTGCTCCGTCTACTGCTGACCCGTCGCTGTTTCTGCGCACCGACACTTCTTTGCCGCCGTTCTACATCCTCGTGTACGTCGACGACTTGGTCTTTGCCACAGCGGACACTGCTGGACTCGCCTACGTGAAGTCTGAGCTACTAAAGAGACACACGTGCACAGACCTGGGTGAACTGCGCAGCTATCTTGGCTTGCAGATCACTCGGGACAGAGCACGCCGCACCATTACCTTGACTCAGTCACACATGGTGCAGCAGGTCCTTCAGCGCTTCGGCTTTACGTACTCCTTGCCTCAGGCCACTCCTCTGTGTACTCGCCACTCGCTCTCAGCTCTGCCTTCGGATGAGTCCGTAGAGTCGAGTGGCCCGTACCCAGAGCTTGTTGGCTGCCTCATGTACCTGATGACCTGCACACGACCTGACCTTGCATACCCTCTTAGCATTCTTGCACGCTACGTTGCTCCTGGGAGACACCGACCAGAGCACATGGCTGCAGCGAAGAGGGTGTTGCGCTACCTGTGCAGTACGTCGGGCATGGGGCTAGTGCTTGGAGGGCGGAGTCCAGTGGTCCTTACAGGACACGCGGACGCTTCTTGGGCTGACGACCAGGCTACGCAGCGGTCGTCTCAGGGTTATACCTTCAGCCTTAGTTCCGGCTCTGTCTCGTGGCGGGCTACTCGCTCGTCTTCGGTTCTCAGCTCCAGCTGTGAGGCTGAGATCTACGCAGGGGCCATGGCTGCACAGGAGCTTCGCTGGCTCACCTACCTGCTGAGTGACCTTGGAGAGCCGCCTCGTTCTCCTCCAGTGCTGTACGTAGACAACAAGGCCATGCTGGCCTTGTGTCGAGAGCAGCGTCTGGAGCACAGAACGAAGCACATTGCTCTTCGCTACTTCCTTGCTCGCGAGCTACAGCAGCGTGGACAGTTGCGGCTTGCGTACGTGGCCTCTGAGGCCAACACTGCTGATGTGTTCACCAAGGCACTCGCGCCTTGTGACCATCAGCGTTTCTGCACCCAGCTGGGTCTTGTACCTGTCTTGCCTCACTTGCTCTCCTCTTGACTTTACTTGTACTGTCACATATATATATACCTGCTCTTGCTTGTTTAGCTTTATATATATATGTGTGTACTCCTGCATGTGAACTGGCCTTGTGGCCTTGCTCTTGTCGTCGGACTGTGTGGTGACTTTGTGATCCACCCTGAGCTTTGCTTTGCTTTGCTTGACTGGTCTTGTGACCCCTTGTTCTCCCCCACTTTGCCTATGGGGGTGTGTCAGATTTATATGACATTGTTACTGTAGGCTATAGTGGGGTAGCCCATATGGGGTACAGGTTTGTAGGGTTGTATTTGTACCAATCTTTCCTTAGTCATTTCCATTCGTGTTTCTTTAGTTTCACACTGCTCTGGCGCCAAAGCCTGGCGCTGCTCTGGCGCCAATGGCAGGTGCTGCTCTGGCGCCAAATCCTAGCGCTGCTCTGGCGCCAATGGCGCCAAAGTCCGGCGCTGCTCTGGCGCCAAAGCCTGGCGCTGCTCGGGCGCCAATGGCAGGCGCTGCTCTGGCGCCAAAGCCTGGCGCCGCTCTGGCGCCAATGGCAGGCGCAGCTCTGGCGCCAAATCCTGGCGCTGCTCTGGCGCCAATGGCGCCAAAGTAAAACGCTGCTTTGGCACCAAAGCCTGTCGCTGCTCTGGCGCCAATGGCACGCGCTGCTCTGGCGCCAAAGCCTGGCGCTGCTCTGGCGCCAATGGCAGGCGCTGCTCAGGCGCCAAATCCTAGCGCTGCTCTGGCGCCAATGGCGCCAAAGTCCGGCGCTGCTCTGGCGCCAAAGCTTGGCGCTGCTCGGGCGCCAATGGCAGGCGCTGCTCTGGCGCCAAAGCGTGGCGCTGCTCTGGCGCTAATGGCAGGCGCTGCTCTGGCGCCAAATCCTAGCGCTACTCTGGCGCCACTGGCGCCAAAGTCCGGCGCTGCTCTGGCGCCAAAGCCTGGCGCTGCTCGGGCGCCAATGGCAGGCGCTGCTCTGGCGCCAAAGCCTGGCGCTACTCTGGCGCCAATGGCAGGCGCTGCTCTAGCGCCAAATCCTAGCGCTGCTCTGGCGCCAATGGCGCCAAAGTCCGGCGCTGCTCTGGCGCTAAAGCCTGGCGCTGCTCGGGCGCCAATGGCAGGCGCTGCTCTGGCGCCAAAGCCTGGCGCTGCTCTAGCGCCAATGGCAGGCGCTGCTCTGGCGCCAAATCCTAGCGCTGCTCTGGCGCCACTGGCGCCAAAGTCCGGCGCTGCTCTGGCGCCAAAGCCTGGCGCTGCTCGGGCGCCAATGGCAGGCGCTGCTCTGGCGCCAAAGCCTGGCGCTGCTCTGGCGCCAATGGCAGGCGCTGCTCTGGCGCCAAATCCTAGCGCTGCTCTGGCGCCAATGGCGCCAAAGTCCGGCGCTGCTCTGGCGCCAAAGCCTGGCGCTGCTCGGGCGCCAATGGCAGGCGCTGCTCTGGCGCCAAAGCCTTGCGCTGCTCTGGCGCCAATGGCGCCAAAGTGTGACGCTGCTCTGGCACCAATGGCGCCAAAGGCAGCCGCTGCTCTGGCGCCAAAGCCTCGCGCTGCTCTGGCGCCAATGGGCCCAAAGTCCGGCGCTGATCTGGCGCCAAAGTCTAGCGATGCCTTGGTGTGAGTGTAACGCTCTACATCGATGCTAAAGTCTGGCCATTGTCATGATTACCCTTTTACAATGTGCGCATGCCCTTTTTATGACACTGATTTTTCTGTTTTTGTGACTCAATCCCCGTCGGTATTGTTGCTCGCAGATTTCTAAGCGCACTAGCCATGTTAACTTTCCTACGAAAACGGTAAGGTCATGTTTTGTTTGTGCAGTCATTAGTAGCCGTCATTTCCTTGTACAGCATAGAACCATGTGTGTGGACGTAATGCGCGTATGTTTCTGCGTGAAACTGAAATGCAACGTGCACCTTTGTGTCCCTATTTCATGCGCTCTGCCCTCAAGAGCATTTGCCTCGCAGAACGAATCTGATGTCAACATCACTGTGGGTAAAGTCTACTCCTCGGTGGACACCGGAAGGGATGAGATGCGCCGCTATGGCCGACAGCATATGTTTGAGCCAATTTTCCCGAGAAACAATTCCACGCGCATCGAGGCATGGTGCAAGTCCATGGTTGGGAAACGTTGGCCTGTCAATGAGACTAAAGCACCTGAAGGGTTTTGCCCTTTCCGTGTTATCATATGTGGTCCTTCGTCAAGCTGTCTTAGGGTCACTACTGCTCGTTTACGTTATGCGGACAAGTGTACGGTTGGTCCCGGTCGTGTGCGGATAGACGAGGTAAAAGAGATCGCACGAGACATCATGAGTCATAGTGAGGTGAAACCTAAGGGCTTGATGAAGAGGGTTTCAGAAGTGCTGGGTGTGTCATGCTCGTACGCTCTAGCCCATGGAGTGATTGCTGAGGTGAGACTGGAGAAAGCATTCGCGGGGGATGAGGGCTTTCAGTACATGGAAGACCTTTTGAGGATTTTCGAAGACAAGAACCCCACTAGTGTGGTATCCATGGAGAAAAAACGAGGTCGTTTTTTCCGAGCAGGTGTCATTTTCCCGGGTGCAAGGAAGATGTTAGAGAACTGCCTGCCAATCATATTTGCTGACGGTTGTCATGACAAAACCCAGTGGGCAGGCCACACCCTCAACTTGTGTCTCTTTGACAGCCAGCACAAGTTGGTGAGACTTGGTTGTGCTTGGGTGGAGGGAGAAAACAAGGAGTCATGTAGTTACATCTTCAATCTGCTTCTGAGGGTTGTTCCTGAAGTGAACTCTGCCGATTACGTCATGATGCATGACCGTGGTGGTGCTTGGAAGGCAGCCACCGCGAGATGCCTGCCATTGATTCGGGAATCATACTGCATCACCCATCTAGTGCGGAATTTCAAAAGCAAATTCGGATCAGACCTCGATGGTCGGATTTTGGCTGCAGCCGTAGCTTTGACTGACGCTGTACATGCTGGACACATGGCCAAGATCAATGAGGAATGTCCTGGGGGGGTAGCATATCTCGTGGACAAATCACTGTCCATGAAGTGGGCAACAACCGAGTTTAATGCACCCCGATTCGGCTGCTACTCCTCAAATCTAGTTGAGTCGCATCATGCGTCGCTCTCTGGATTGAGAGAGAAGAACGCACCACAGGTGCTATTGAGGCTGTCATATAAACTCGCCCCAATAATGGAAAAGAGGCGCAAAGAGTACTCTGCCTTGACTGATTCCGACCTACCCACTAAGACAGGGCTGATTGTCAAAGCAAACCGGGACCGCTGTCGGAAATGCTCTGTATGGCCCCTTTCTCCTGACTCCCACCGACCACGCCTGTAGACCCCTGAGTCTCCCTTCCCCCTTCCACTTGTCTCTTCTTGGACTCTTCCCCCCCCCCTTACTTTCTCTTGCTCTTGCTCTAGGGTACTACCGACGCCCTAACAGCTGTATACTGTGTGCCGTGTGGCAGCGTTCCATCATGACATCTCACTCAGAAAATCTCCTTGCCACTACCGGCTGACAAGCTGGTTCCCTAGCGTGCTCATGACTGCCTGCGAGTGAGTTAACAGGATTACATTGGAGCAAACGGGAAACATACAACGAAGCAGCCTACACTAGGGTATCAGCTCTGCTATGTACAAGCCAACTTTGCTGCCCTAGCCTAGCGCCTCTATCATGCACACATCACATGGGCGAGGCTCGGGGTGCCGAGCCATATTTCCAAACCGCAGGCGCTCTGAATCTGCATGGGCTCCAGCGCACGCCCTTCGCCAGCTGCAAGCTTGGCGTGCATGTTCAACTGCAGCTTTTGCCACCTGTCGGCTGTGCTGCACTTATTCGCGTCAACAGCTCTCGCCCTGCACAGGACACAAACGAAACATGCACCACCCCGACTCATACACCCACCATTCTCATGCAAACTTTCTTGAGCGTTATTTACAATTATGTACACCCACCCTTCTTCCCTCCGCACTTGTAGATTCAGCTTCTGCCACATCCTCCCACTCTCCCTGCTGCCAACTCTTGGCGCTGTCTCGGTTCCTATGCGGCCCTCCTGGCTACATAAACCGCGACAGCTGTCGGAAATGCTCTGTATGGCCCCTTTCTCCTGACTCCCACCGACCACGCCTGTAGACCCCTGAGTCTCCCTTCCCCCTTCCACTTGTCGCTTCTTGGACTCTTCCCCCCCCCCTTACTTTCTCTTGCTCTTGCTCTGGGGTACTACCGACGCCCTAACTGCTGTATACTGTGTGCCGTGTGGCAGCGTTCCATCATGACATCTCACTTGCCCCCTCTGGAACAGACTAGGGCTCCTGCTGGTTCTGATCCAGACCACTCAAACTCCTACATCGCGCCCTTGCTGTGTTCGTGGTGTGGTCCTGGACCCTCCTGCCCTGCTGATTCTCCAGCACCACCACTCCAGACTCTCGGACTTCTACCACTCTCCAGCGTTCCTTGCTGAGGCCACGGTCTAACGTGTGCTGCCGCGCCGTCCTGCGATACACTTCCTGCCCTTCCTGCAGCTGCCCTCCACTTGCTGGCCTCTGCCCCCCGAGCCTCTGCTGGTACCGATGCGCGTCTCGCAGCTGAGCCACATGAAGATTCTCTAACGCTGAAGGCAGAAGCGCTCGTAGGTAATCCCCCTTGGCCTTGGCCAGTGCTGCCCACAACTCTGGGGTTCCTGCTGTCACCACATCAGTCAACACTTTGGGCGCCCCTACCGGCAGGATCGGCTCTCTGCCATAGAGCAGATAGTAAGGGGACACGTCTCGCAGCGCCGCCTGCTTGCTGAACCGGTACCCCGCAGCAACCCAGTGCAGATCCTCATCCCAGCTGCGCTTGTGTGCCTCTCCATATGCCCGTAGCCCTCGCTTGAGTGTCTGCACCATCCGCTCTGTGAGGCCATCAGCTTGTGGATGATACCGGGAGGTCCTTCTGTGCGTGATCCCGATAACTGCCAGCGCCTTGTCAAACTCCCCCCGAAACTCCGTGCCTTGATCCGTGAGCACTTCACCACATGCCCCCATCCTGGTGAGCACTTGCTCCGTGAAGGCCTCCGTGACGAGTGCCGCGCTCTTACTGCTAAGAGCGCGCACCTCCACCCACTTACTGACATGCTCTATCATGACCAAAATGTACCGCTTGCCTCGCCGGCTGAGGGGCAATTCCCCCGCCAAATCCAAGGACCATCTGTAGCCCAACCCGCGGATGGGGAGCGACTGTAGCTCTTGCTGGCTCTTCTCCAACTGGGCCTTATTGCGGTCGCAAGCCTCACATTGCGCCACCCGTTCCTTAATCTGTCGCGCCATGCCTGCCCACCACCAGCCCGTGTTGACCAGCTGGGTTGTTCTGACGTGCCCAAAGTGCCCCAACTGTCGGTGCCCCCTGTCAATGATGCCTTCTCGATCCGCTGGCGCAGGCACCAGCTTCCACCCCTCTCTGGTCCTCAGCTGTACCTGCCCCGCATACCACCTGTAGTGCTGTCCCCTTGCCCGTGCTCTCTCCGAGGCAGGCTCTTCTGCCTCCGTCTCTCCCCGCAGCCACCTGAGAGTTTCTTCGTCCTGCCATATGTCGGCTGCTCTGCGCTGCTCCTGACGCTGCTCCCCCTGCCTTTCTGCTTCTCTTGCCAGAGCCACGAGCCCGGCCACTGGCTCTGCCGCCGGCGGGTTACGCGATAGCCCATCCACGTGCTGAAGCGTCCAGCCTGGCCTGTGCTTCACCACGAAATCGAATTCCTGCAACCGCATGGCCCACCGCGCGTTGCGGCCTGTCAGCGTATGATTAGTCATTAGCCACAGCAGCGGCTGGTGGTCCGTCACCAGTGTGAACTCGCGCCCTTGCAGGTACACTCGGAAATGCGTCACCGCCCAAACCGCCGCCAACCCTTCTCCCTCGTAGGAGCTGTAGTTTGCCTCCGCTGCGTTGCAGCTGCGACTCGCAAAGGCCACCACCCTCTCCCCCTGCTCAGTCTGTTGGCTGAGCACGGCTCCCATGCCTGCGCTGCTCCAGTCAGTGTACAGCACGAACCTGGCCTCTGGCATCGGCAGCAGAAGCACCGGTCCCGACTTCACGGCTTCCAGCAGGTCCCGTAGTGCCCCCTGCTCGGCCTCTCCCCACTTCCAGGCTACGTCCTCCCGCAGCAGCCTATTCAACAGAGCCGCCCGCCTACTAAAGTTCGGCACGAACTTACGGTAGTAATTCAAGAAGCCCAGAATTGCCCTCAGCGCGGAGCGACCACTCGGGGTCGCCAGGTTGTCCAGCACTGCGACCTTCGCTTGCTGAATGGTCATCTGGCCTCCACCCACTTCAAAGCCCAGATACCGCACCGTATTCGTGCCGAAACGGCACTTCTTGGGGTGGCATGTGAGTCCGGCTCCCCTGATGGCTTCCAAGACCTGCTGCACATCCTTCACGTGCTGCTCGGGCGTTGAGCTGAACACAACTACGTCGTCTATGTAGCAGGCCGCGCAGTGCTGCAACGCGCGCAGCACCCGGTCCATTGCTTTCTGGAACACTGCCGACGCGTTCTTTAGTCCGAAAGGCATGAACAACCATTCGTACAGTCCGTCCGGCCCATGAAAAGCTGTCTTCCTCACATCCGCCTCCTTGATTCGTATCTGATTAAATCCCTGGCGAAGATCCAGCGTGCTGAAGATCGCTGCCCCCTGCAACTTGTCGAATATCTCCTCTGGCGTAGGCATGTGATAGCGATTCGCCACCGTCAGCTTATTGAGGTCCCTGTAATCTCCGCACATGCGTCGCGACAGCACTTCTCCTGTAAGTTCTTTCCTCGCGGCCACCACGGTGGCAGCCGCGTACTCCGACTCAGAGGGCTTGATGAGTCCTGCCTCCAGCAATTCCCGACACTTCTCTCTGCACAGATCAAGATCTCCTGGGCTCATGCGGCATTTGCGCTGGTACACCGGCACCTCCTCCGTCAGCCGAATCTCCATCTCTCCCCCGTTGTATTTGCCGAGCTCCTGCAGTGTGAAGGCAAATGCCTGTCGGAGCCTCCTCACCACGCTCCACATCTGCTCCCGCAGGTCTCCCTTCAACCCTTCTCCTACTTCCCATGCTCCATCCTCTTCTGCCGCTGGTCGGACTGCCGCTGTGCTTCCCCCTCCTTCGGTCTCGGCTTCCGGTTCCGACCCCGCCCCTGGCTCCTGCTGCCCCCTGCTTGTGTCTGCCACCCCAGCCCCGTTTGGTGACATCGGCTCGCCGGCTGCCACTGCTTCTCTTCTTGCCGGCAAAACTTCCAGCGCCATTAGAGCCCAACCTCGCTCTCTCTTCTGCTGCCTTTCCACCTGCAGGTCCAAGAGCC